ACAGTTCCAAAATGAAACCTGTTCACATCATGTATATTAAATAAAAGAATCATTCATAACTTTTGATTTCTTTAAACTATGCTTTACTTCCATGACTGTAATTCCATACCATGGTAGCCTTTAGTAACAGGATAATAAACAGAAAAAACAACAACTTATAAACACTATAAAACTAATATACAGTTTCATTATATACGTTATTGGTTATTCATATCTGTTACTTCAGAATCAACGCAGAATTCAATGACTGATGAATTGCCCACTTCTCTGAAATCTTCTCTTAAATACTATTGAGTCTAATTCAATATTCATGGAGACTACCTTCTGTATTACTGAAAAAAAATTCTTATACCAACCTACCTATTCAAACCCTACATAATAGAGTTAGTAAATGGTAATTAAGTTTGTAAGGTTGGCCTAGTAAGATTTCGTACAATAGGTTACTTAATAAGATATATTCTTAAGGATTAGGAGAAACTCAAAAAAGATGGATTAAAAATTTGCTGTAAACTTGAGTTTTAACATTTATAAATTTAAAGTGATACATTGGCGATATTTTTGTATGTGAGAAATATTAGTATTGTGCAAAAGCGAGCACAGTTGGGTTGGTTGAAATGGAAGTGGTGAAAAAAATAAACAGGATTCTGGGATCTTTTTTTTACAGAAATTTTTAGTACAGTACACAGAGATTATCACAGTGTGCAAGACATTAGGAACACGATTTGGATTAGTGTTCAGTTTCGATCCAATTATTCAAGTGTATACCTTAACGTATGGAGGCACTAGAAACTATTTATCAGCCCCCCCCCCCCCCATTAGCAAATCTGAGACTGCTAGTAGCAACATCATTGTTCCTCTCTGAAATGAACTGTACCTGTCATAATTATTTCTTAAACAACATGTTAATAACTTTGTAAATATCCTATTTATATGTATGAATCTTCTGGCTTGTTTTCTTTTCAAATATACTTGAATATCAAAGCTCATTTAATTAAATATAGCAGTGTTTAACTATTTAATAAATGTTAAAATATGCTCATCTCAAGTGGAAACTGGTGTATCTAAGCTACAAGCACCTGGACTGACAAAATCTAGACAATACCCAACTGGTGATGGCCATGTGTACTAAAAAGATTTTATTATTAAAAATAATTGTATGTATTTTGTAATAAATAAAGTTTTATTTTCTGACTATTTTGTAAGCAGTATCAAAGTCAATTTGAAAACTTGCTAGATAATGTTGGGTTGATATCAGCAACAGAGTTGGCAGTTAAAATGGCTGCAGATCTAAGAAGTCACACAAATAAAAGCATATTTTAGAGATAATTAATCAGTTGTTTGAAAATTCAGAAAGAGAAACAAAAGAATGTTACAGAAGAAAATGAAAAGCAATGGCCAGCAATTTGTAAAGATAGAGTTGATGAATTAAAAAACACATTCAATAATAGGATCAGTATTTTAGAGAATGATAACAAAAAATACTGAATTAAAGAGGATATATAAAAAAGCTTATCCACTGACTAAACGAAAGATACCACAAACATTAAAACAATAACAAAAATAAAGAGAAAAACAATAGAATACATCATTGCTCTGGATAATGTGCAGTTGAAGAATCTTAAATGCAGGAATAGTTCAGTAATCTACAAAGAGATGTAGACAAACATTTCCATATGTTCAAATTCGGTGACGAGGAACCCACTTTGACACTAATAATGGCTGGAGACGGCTTGAATGGGTAATGAAGAAAAACTTTAATATAAGTTTAACATAACAGCAAATGTACAACGTTTCGACAAGGTTTTGTCATCTATATGTTGGTGTGTATAAAGATCTTTACAGGAAAATTGGACCATCAGGTTTATGGAGTTGTTAGCTTATCTCCAGGAATCTCAGTCAAGGGCAACAACAGTTACCATGTGATAAGTGGTTCTTGCATATTCCATTTTATAGATTTTAGTTAGATGAGATAAAAGTTTCTTAGCCACTTGTCAGTAGACCACCACTGGTTCATCACAACCACAAAAACTGACAAAGTATATATATGTATATTTTGTGTGTGTTCTAGTTCATAGCAAGTTTCTTTAACAAGTCCTAATTGGCAAAGATATGAGAAGTTACCTTATCTTGAAGTTGGCTTGGGCTCTCAAAGAGATTGTTTTTCAACTTAAGAAAGAAAGGAGACAAATATTTTGTCTCCAAATTATTTATCCATTATATAATGTAAAGTTGTACTCTTACCTTATATCTGCTTCACTTCAAATATGTCCCTTGGTAGGGACTAATAATGCTAAAAGTTAGGGTGGGAAGAGCACAGATTGACCATTCTTTAACAACGAATTTCAAGTTTTTTATTTTCATATATATATATATATACATAATTCTTGTCTAATTATCATTACAGTAGTTTATTTGCATCCAGTTTTTTTTGTTTTTTTTCAGTTAATAAATGTCAGTTTTGATCGGTGGTGCTTGTATTTGTTTATTTTAGTATTGACCCTTTATATGTGCTTCAGTTACCATAACTACGATTCTGGAGCTGTATTTATCACGTATGTATAACAGTATTTTATGACACTGCAACCGAATCTAGAGCTAAATAATACTTAAAACTAATTTTTCCTAGTCAAATAAAAACAAATTTTTATGATCGGGAAACAATGTGGTCATGTTATCCAAAGTAACAAAATCATGGCTGTCTAATCGCAAACCAAGGAATCAGAGTATCGGTTTAAAATTAGGGTCAGCTTTGCTTGGATAGCTATTTTTTGTAGCGTTTTACCTGTAAAATAATGCCAAGTTGGCCCTAATATAGACGCTTTTACGTGAATTGTGTATTCCAGCTAGTCAACAGCACCTATCATCCACTCTTGTTTAACCCAGGGCTTGAGTTGTAAAAAATTAACAAGTGGAACGATCTGGATTGATATCTACTTTGCGAACAGCGTGTGCTTGAGTAGTTTAACAACAGAAACGATTTGATAAAAAAAAAGTTAACAACAGAAACATTATTTACTATAAAGAGAACACGTCAGCTAGAACAAGGTAATCGTAAAGATTTTCTGGACTACGTGTTACCACCATTACAGGATAGAAACTAAATATCCATAAAAGTTTAAAGACTTTCTTTTTATAACTAAAGCGGGTGGAAAATAATATGTTCGCATACCACAGAATTGGCTACTGATCAGAAGGTGATGCGAAATATATTCACGAGTAAAAGAGAAACATCTTACTGTTCACATCTTGCCATGTTATTGTAGATAGTTTTAGAAATGTTGTAAAAAGGCTTTCTTGTGTGTTTTAAATGTCAATTACCTTTACGCGTCTGAGAAAACATGTTCTCACTTGATGTATTTCTGACTTATTAGGACATGCGTAGATAAAGAAAACAAGTGAAGGAGTATAAATTACATTTGGTTTTTCTTCTCATTTGACTAGTAGATCATCAATACCAAACAGAGGCGTCGTGAGGAACTCAAAAGATTCGAGACTTGTGCTCATAGGCGCGGGAATTTTCGGCGTTTCAGTTTGATATTGATCATGGTTTTTCTATTCTTATCTTTTAAGATACCAACTAAGAATTCGGGGCACTGGATCCGTGTGCTTGCACCTAGCGACGCCGAAGATGCCTTTGTAGTTTATCCATGACCCATAAAATTGAAACTTCAACACATTGACTTCAAATAAAGTTATGTCTCAGAGTTGTGAATTGGAACTTTTTTTGAACAATTGTTATAGCGTGGATGTATTGTTTTTCTTTTTATGCTGGCGAAGTGTGATTGCAATCAACCATATTTATTATAAGACAAGGGTATTAGGTTTATTTTCATTTTAAACATTGTAGTATTTGTAATGGCTGGAGACGGCTTGAAACGTCTCAAAGTGGGTTCCTCGTCATCGAATTATAGTATTTAATTGGATCCAAAGAGGTTTTCGAGAAGACTATTTCAATAACTATTTCCGACATACCTTTTGCCGACGATCCCTTTGATCTATCCAGAGCTCCTCAGGCTGGCTGGGATACAGCAAATACAGTAGCGAATTTGTTTAGTTTTTGATGTAGAACCCTTTACATTATCGTTATCTTTTTTTCACCGAATTTCACGTTTTGAAGAAGAAAAGAAACTAATAATTAAATACAATCGGAACACTGTTTATGTAAGCCATTTGTTAGAATAATCGATTCTAAACTTGCTTCAATTTCTAATACTATTATACATCCTTCTTAGAAAAAAACGTAAAGAACCGATTAAAGAAATCTGTTTAAAAATACAATAAGCCAAGTTTTTACTACACTTTATTATGACAAGTGTAATTGATTATAACTTGTTTTCTCTTTTTTATCTGTGACAAACACAAATGGTTATGGTAACATCATTTGTTTTTTATAATTTGTTACTGACTGGTTTGTTGCTGGACCTAAAGTTAATAGGGTATTAATTTCCCAAGTTAAAAATTAAGCAAGTATATTTCTTTTTTGTTGTTCAAAACAGTTATATCACGCTTTGTTAGTCCCTCAGTGGGCCAGCTGTAAGTTTACAAACTTACAACGCTAACCCAGGGTTCGATTCTCCGCAGTGGATAGAGCTCTAATAATCATATTGTGTAGCTTTGAAATTTGCGAGAAAACAAACAAATAAGCATACTTTATCAAACACCAAGATTAAAATTTGCTCTTGAAGCGATTAGCATGCATGAAAAACAAACTGGTGGTCAAATGTAAATAAAAACTTTAAATAAATGTTGTTTATCCCCATTAATTAATTGTATAATATTACAAGAAACTAACGATATTACCATTAGAAAATATAGATAATATGAAAATAGTTTTTTGTTAATCTTCATAAACAAATATAATAAAGTAATTATATGGCAATTGAAGTTCGTTTAGAGATGTGTAGTAGTTACTTTTCACTGTCCTTTATAATTGTTAATATGTATAAATATAGTAATAAGTTTATTTTTCTTGTTAATTCGTTCGGTAGGTTTCGATGTTCCGAGTTCTTCCCGCCTCTTCTGGAGTTTTACTATTTTAGCGGGCAACGGGGGCTGTCAGTGGCTCTGTGCCTTGAGTTAGCCGTGTTTTCTATCTGAAATTAGGTTAGTTTTTAAGTATTTCATTAGCTTTTCGTAATTTCTATGATCGAAATATTAACTTTATTTTCTTTAATTATTAATATTGTGTTATTTTGATAAAGTTTTACATACTTGCAAAATTTAAGTTTAACGTTAAGCCTAACTATTGAGTTTTGGATTATTCAAAATCAAAGAATAAGTGGCGCCATTTCTGTGTCTTAAGTCAAAATTATTTAGCTTTCATAATAAATTAAGAAATAAGTGGCCATTAAAGCGGATAAAATAATGTCAGAAATTGCTTGTTTGGATATTAAAAGGATATTTTAAAACAATTGTAATTATAGTTTATATTGCTTTATGTTTTGTTTTTATTTTTTTTAAGAGATAGGATTAGATTTTTAACGAATGTTTTTACATTTTAATTTTAGTATTTATAAAATATAACTAAAATTTAAATGAGATTTAAAAGGCAGGTTTACTGTTCGTAAATATAGCGGCAGGCCCTCAGAGGTTCAGAAACAGAGAAGCCTGGGCCATTTCTATCTTTTGAGGCCCCTGTCTATAATAATAATAAAAAAAAGACATGAAAACAAAATAAGAATTACTAGCTCAAAAGAGAGGTGAAGCATAATTTGAATAGTCAGTTTATATATATCTCTCTATATATGTATGTGTATATAGCTTGCAGTTTTAAAATGATTGGGAGGCACATAGAAACGTTGCAAAACTTAACAAATGCAAAAAAGTAAAATTAGTGTCCAAAGTTGAGGCCAGGGCCAAATGCCTCTCCTCGCCCCCCCCCCCCCTCAAATTGTTCCTAGGCAGGCCACTTGTGAAAAAAGTTAGAATAGTGATCACGAGAAAGTTTAAGTTTAGGTCATCTAGAAAATGAAAACAGTCGAGATCACATTAAAATATATTATGTAGTAGTAGTAATTGAAAAGGTAGGAACAGAAATATTCAAACCAATTTTCTATCTGTAATCAACCTAATAAATTATATTTTGTTTTGTAACTTGACAATTTCATTGGTGAATCTATACTAAGTTAATGAACTGTAAGTAAGTAGCTATTTCCACTATTTTGGTTTAAAAGCTAAGTTTTTAAAATATACTAATAAAAATGTAGACGTTTGTTCTACTCTTGATTGTCATAACCACTAATAAAAAAAGAATTATTAGAACATTGTTAAATGTGACAACGTTTTATGTCTGTTAAACAATTAAAAAAATGTTCTTTTATCATAGTTGGAGTCCTACTTTTCTAAACACATTAAGAGTTTAGAACACAAACACTTTTTTTGTAGTATAACTTTGTATTTACTATAACTGTATTTTGTTGTTGTTGTTGTTAATGCATTTGATGAAATAATACATTCTATTTTTGATGAGGTCAATAGAAAATAACATCTAACAACCTTGTATCTTTGGCTTTAAACTGGGCCGCAACTATGATTAAATAAAATCTTGTAAAATATTTCTTTGCAAGTGGCCATTTATAATTGTACATGACTTTCAATCGCTTTCATTTTTAAGGAGTGAAAAAACAGTAAACCCCGCGCTGTAAAATGTTGCATTATATTAAACACAACATTCTATGGTATAGTAACATGATGAAAATAAAATGTAGCATGTGAAAATGAAATAATTCTGTTTATCATCTATAATTTCTCACCGATCTGTAGTTGAAACTAACAACAGTTTTTCCTCTGTGATTTGTTAAAGAAAACCGAAAAGTTTACCACAGTCTGTAGCATTTTATTTTACAGTAATCATGGGGAAAAAGAAACAGAAGGATACAAATCCGGTCTCTGAAGAGGAAGAGGAGGAGGAGTATATTGTAGAAAAGATTTTGGATAAAAGGATACAGGCTGGAAAAGTGGAATATTTTTTAAAATGGAAAGGATACCCAGAGTAAGTTTCTAGTTTGGCCAAGCATTGTCATGTTACAGATTCTTAGTGTCTTTTAGTTATTGTTTGTTATGAAAGAAGTTATAAAATAGACATTTTCTGAAGGTAAATGGAAAGGAATGCTATGAATTTCAGAAGTTTACATTGATAAATAGGATGAAATGTATTGAGAACTACGAGGTTAAGAATTTGGTTTTAAAAAATTAAAAAGCCAAAGAGGGTGTCTGAGGAACGGTGGGCTCAATATGTTAAAATCATTGCCGAGCAAGGATTTTATAAATATATTAAAGGTAAGCAAATATATAACTTGATATTCTGCCCTTGAAAGATGCTAATTGCATGGTTATTGTTGAGGGCTACGAGATGGCTGAACTTCAAAATTTTTTTAAGTCTGTGGACTTACAACATTAAAAAAAGTCAAGTTTCAATACTGGTGGTGAGCACAGCACAAATAGCCCATTGTGTAGCTTTGTGCTTAACAGTAAACAATTTGATTTTTCCAAGATATTTTCAATATTCCTGCTCCTGAGCATTCTATGGGAAGCATTTGAATTGAATTGAAGCCTGTAGATGTTAATCCTATTATGATAAGTATAAACAATTGGAGATTAAAAGTAGATTAAGCAGTATTCTTCGCAGGGTTTTAAAAGAGGGCAAAGATCAGAGATGGGAGCCTCATTCTTGGTAGGTCAAGAAAGTGGACAGTTGCCTGGAGACTGAAGAGTAACTACTATTTTTAGAGGGGGTGATAGGAGTTGACTTGGAGATATAGGCCAGTTAGTCTTAATTCTGTAGTGCGAAAGTTCTGGTAAGTCTGATGAAAGAAGCCTTAAAAAATCGTTTAGTGAAATATGAATGTAAAAGAAATCCATTATAAACCACCGAAAGGAAGGTCTTACTTAACTAATCTGTTTGTGAGTGTTGCTTGTTATTCAAAGGGTGTGGACTTGGTGAATTTAGACTTTTCAAAAAAAAGTTTTGATGAGCGCTACGCGTAAAATTAGTGAAGAAAATTATATTGGTAGAGATTGGGTTGGAGAAAGACCAGTCAACTTTCTGTATACGGCCTTGAGCCTCTTTAACCCGACCATGTGACCACCGTGCAACAGTGAAACTATATGTAGTGTATCTTCGTGAAACTTGGCAAACTTGTATTAAACATTACAAGTCTGTCGTAGACAAAAAAAAATTCAGATTTTTTTAGTAAAGTATTTGATTGAAAAGTGATTTTCAAGCTAAGGATATAGATACTTTTATCTTAAGTTTTCTTTTGCGTAATCTCTAATATCTCTTAAATTAATATCCAAAACTTTAATATTTTATATCTTATTTTCTCTAACCCTAACCTGTAGATTACTCTTCGTAAGTTGAAAAATATGAAATAAAATCAAAAACATGTTTTTTCTAGAACGACTGCAGATTGTGACAGACAGTTTTAAATTATTTATCATGAGAGCTTTATTCCCCTTAAATTTTCACAAATGCTTTAGTTTAATTGCATTGTTTTACTGCTCTTATAACTGTAACTTCCGTGACAAGCAAGGCACTACTTTGCAGGAGTGCTGAGAGTTTATAGTAAACAATTTCAGTTTATGAAGTCTGTGTACGTTCCTTGAAGACTGATCGTGAAAAATTAAATTTTTTCTTGTATAATGTAGTGTAAGTTTTTAATTGTTACAGTTTAGTTACTTTTATTAAAACATATATAACAATAGATGCAAAATACATTTAGGACTTACCTTCGCTCTAGTCCAGTTTGCACTTGGGTGTCTGCTTTCGTAAGCTTTTTTTTTTTTAACTTAGTTAATTGACAAAAAAAAATATTAATTCATGTAGCTTTCGAGTATACATTTTTAGAACACAAATATTTTGGCCACTAAAGTAGGATGCCCCAGAATTACTGTATTTTGTCTGGGTTCCTAATTAAGCTAATGAATAGGTTAAAAAATTCCATTACTCTTCAGAGCACCAACTTCAGTTTACACATGTCAGCATCTATTTGCAAAAATAGAGATTTTCACTGGGAAAACATCTTCAGGTTCACGTAGTTTACAAAATTGACTTTTTTATTTATATCAGCAAGCACCACATGAGCAAATAAGTGATTTAAAAGCATGTAGAGTTATCAGGAACTTCTGTGATGGATGTAATAAAAATGTAAACTGACTCAGAAGCTGCCTGAAAATTAAAACAAAAACAGGATTTTGGCATATTGGTGGATAAGCCAAAAAAGCCATACTCTATTGCTAATAGTAAAGCCAGTGAGACTATATGATATTTTTAGACATTTGGAATAATGTGTACAGTTTTGGTTTCCATATTTAAAAGGGGATTTATGGATAAAAATTCAGAGGAAGGCCACCAGAATGATTTCAGGAATGGAAGGGTTATCTTATAAGGCTAAATTTTTATTTTTCTCTTAAGAGGTGATCAGTTGAAGTTTACAAGATTATCAGATTTGGTTTTTTGTGCAATTTTCTGAAGATAGTATGACAAGAGGATACAAGTATAAGAGCTGAAAAAGACAGGCTAGTACTGGAGTGAAATATTTGATTTGTAGGACCCTGGTGGCCACAAGAAATATAATAAATTGCCAAAGGTTGTGAAAATTGTTCTTATTATGAGCCATGGACAGGCAGACAATGAAAGGTCATTGTCAATCAACAAGAAAGTTCTTACATCAGAGAGGTCGTCCATGGGAGACGAGACTCTCGTCGATCTGCGAGCAACAAAAGACACAGTAAGAAACACTGTCAGATAACAAAGTACACTTGATGTTGTAAACTCAGTGAAGATGTCCCATTTAATGGAAGAAAGAAAAGATAAGACTAGGAGAATGTAAAAGAAAGAGAGATGAAGAATTCAGAGAAAGGAAGAGAAGAAATATTTCTGAAAGAGTAAAAGCGAATCTTTCATCCATCGAAGAAACAAAAGAGACTAGAGAGTGCACCGTAGAAAAAAAAAACTTACTTGGAGTCGAGACTGCAAAAAGATACGTGTCTTTTTTAATTCATGGAAAAAAAAAGTTCCAGTGAACTATCCGAGGATAAGAAATGCTCTCGTGTCAAATTATAAAAAGAAGACGAAGCAGGAAGTAGAATATAGTAACTCATTATTCTACTGATAGTCAGTAAATATTGTTAGTTTTAGCAGATTGTCAGAGCACAATAATCCTATAATTATAAGCCAAAACCATGTTTTAGATGTAAATCTTCTGTAATTTTGTGCTTATAGCAATGCATATGACGTAAACATTTCTGACAGTATTTCAAGATTTTTTTACAATATTCAATAATTAAACTAGCTTTGGCAGTGATGGGAATATATGACTTTTATGAACATAATGAATGGTTGTAAAAATAGTTGTGTGGATATTTTACGAGAACATTTGTTCTTAGTCTAGAATGATCAACCAAACCGGCCCTAATTCAGCCAAATGGTGGCCCCTGATGGAGAAAAGGCCAGAAATATATATATAGATCAGTTGTCTTTTTTTATTAATATTTACCAGTCTGGTCAGAATACTTTTCTATGCAAGAAATCTAAAGACACATAACAGACCTTGTACCATTTAATTATGAGTTAAACAATAGTATGAAAAAAAGGGTTAAGTTTCCCAGGAAACTATATTCAGTGAATCTGCAGTCAAGTTTAAATTTATGCTGTCTTTGTATTAAAGACTAGAATTTGAAAATTACTCGGCATATCGTATAAACAGTGCACTGTGGAAAGTGCTACTACCAATGTGTTAAACCATTAACTGTGGATGACGGATATTTCCATCATTGAAGTTCTATGGCTCAGCTGCAAATGACGGAAATATCCGTCAGTCGCACATATATGAATCTATGCGGATGACGATAATTACCATTTTATTGTGATTGATGGCAACTCAGTTTTATCTGTGAGTCAGAAAACAGCAACTGAGCTGCTCCTGCGGCAGTTAATGGGTTAATAATATGAACAGACCACCACGATAACTACATTGAATGCGTGAATCTTGTATTTGACTATGTATTTAATAATATTTTTCAGATGGTGGATTACCATGGAGAATTCAACTGTGAATAAGGATACTAATTAACAAATTGGTTACCTTTGAGATCCGTTCTTGTTGGTGACTAACAAACATCCATTGCAATGTTATTTTTTGTTCTTACACTTACCTGTTGATTAACACTTAACTTAAGGATTTATTTCTTGTTTTAGGTGATACATTTTTGTTAAAATAAACTAAGATAAGTCATCAAAATAGCCTATGGGGGTGTGTGCTAAAATGGCCTTTAATTAGCACAATACGAACCTTCAATTTGGCTAAAATGAATTTTCAGTTTGTACAACCTTTAACCCTATCACTACAGGTATCCTTTACTGCGCATGACACAAGGTTTTAGTGTCTTACATTCAAAATTTTATTAAACTACTTTTTTTTTATGTTATACTAATTAGAATAGCATAAAATCTTAGTTAATAGTCCATATTTTAATAGTGTACAAGGTTAAGTTCTTAATTCTACAAGGTAATATTTTAAAAAATCCTGAATTTCCACTAGTGTGAACCACGTGACACATCTTCTCTTAGCATGTCATCATCCCTATTTTATCCACCACCCCTTGAGAAAGTACGAAATTAAATGTAAATTACTCTTTATAAAATCATTATTGTTCAGACAAATCGTAATTTTTATAGTCTTCAATTTTGTTTGGTTACAGAGCTATCGATTAGAAAATCAGACCCCTCTGACCACACCCACCTGTCACATCCTCTCTTTCAGAATTCATTGATAGCTCTCTATTACGTTTCATTATATATTACCTATAACCAATAGAAAGGCAAGGTTTTCATCTATCAAATGACGTATTGTATAATGTTGTGTTCTGAATGGTTAAATGTCAGTTTCATTCAGAGTACAAACATCGTTCCTGTGGGAAAGTTAATGACTAGCTTGGGTGAATTTGTAACGGCTCTTATTGCATAGTTAGAAAGCCAGGAAAATATTGAGAGATAAATGAATTTGTCTACTTTTACATGGTATTAGTCTATATTCTTTGGTGCATTATTTAATTAAATAAAAACTCTCTATAGTATAAAAAATACTGGTTAACTATCTTCAAAAATTGACAGCAAGAAAAAAAAGATTGGTTAAGTATTTTATTTCTTGTTTTTCATGTTTATTCTTTATGTATAATTATAAAAGTAACTAAAATGTAGAAATAGGGATCCTTTTTAGGTTTGTCAAGATTAGATTAGGTAAAATGAATAATAATATTATAATAAAAATGTTTCACGAGGCACACGCAAGCAGCTCGTGGGTAATGTAATTTAATAGTGTAACATGAGCTGTGCATTCACCGAGTGTTTTACAACTTATAATGGTGTTGATAGTAGTTAGACACGGTTCAAAGGGCAATAAAACAGAATTTAAATTGATCTATAATGTTGCGTACTTATGAGAAATGCATGTAGTTTCATGTTACAAAAGTCATTCTAGAAAGAAAAAAGGGGTAATTTAGGTTTATTTCAATTTTTTTGGGGGGGGTACGAGGTTGGTCGATTTGACCGATTCCATTTTGAGATAGGGAAGAGAAAATAACAGATCAACTATAAAGTTTTACCAAAAAAAAATGCATTTAGTTGGTTTTAGGGATTACATAAAGGAAATTTGAGGTGAGGAAAAGTATTTTTAATTTTAACATGAAAATTACTTTGCACACGGACTATTCAAAACAAATACTCAATATATTCATGGACGAATATGTATTTTTTGTATGTGAAAGACGTATAATATTAACTGAAAGACTGCCAGATTTTGTTAAGATATACACACTATATTGAAAGTTAGAAGTATTAAATCTGTAAAGACTTTAAATGAGTACAAAGAGGTCTCATGGTCGTTTGTTGAGATTGACTGAGCCCTTGTTGAAGGAATTAAGTCAAAGACTGTGGTAGGCCTGTAGATTAGAAAACAACACTGTAGGCCTATGTACTCGTAATCTTCCATAAGTTTTTTACAGAGATTTTTACTAGTCCACAAAGTGAAAAACGTTGGAAACTACTGCTCTAGGAATCACTGATGATTGTGTTTAGTAACATGTGAACTCTTATAAAAGAAAATTCAGCAAGTGATGAATACAAAGTCATGATGACTGATCAGATGTGTTAATATACAAAATTTTAATTTTCCTTTAATAAAGAAGAGTAAATAAATGTAACAAAACACAACTTTACAAACTAAACAGCCTTTAGTTATTCTGCTTTGAAAGTCAACTTATGGTTACACACAGAGAAAAAGAAAACTTTACTAGCTACCTAGCATGTTATTAGAAACCTTAATTTATCTTGATATTTTTATTAACAGATCTGAAAATACTTGGGAACCTGAAGAGAATCTCGACTGTCCAGAGCTTATTTCTGAGTATGAAGAAAAACAAAAAGTAGATGTGGAAGAAAAGAAAGATTCTTCAGATAAAAAAAGAAAAATTAATGGAACTGAAAAGCGTGAAAGTTCTCAAAAGAAAAAGAAAAAAGTAGAGGTATAATACAATTTTTTTTATGTGTATGTGTGTAAAAGTCCAAGAAAATTTGAAGTAAAAACATTTCATCGTCAATCCCTATATTTGGTGATGACTTCTACTGGAAAATTACCCCTTTTTTTTCTCATTATAAACTTCTAAATCTTTTTGTGATTGTTGTTAACCCTATCGCCATGGGTATCCTTTGTTGTGCATGACGCAATGTTTTAGTGCCTTACATTCAAAATTTTATTAAACTACTTTTTG